ACCATGACCTCCTTCTAGTTCGTCGTAGTTGATATTGTATGTGGAGATACAGTCTTTTGCGGTCCACGTTCCAGACTGAACTTGATTTTTTGAGTCAACGCTTACGTTGGGAAGGACTATGCTCACCTCCAACTTCACATCCTCCTTGCTAATCTCGTATCCTTTCTTCTTCCACTCTTGCAATCCGCCATCGATTACCGACACCTTATCGTGCCCATAACTCTCAAAATCATCTTTTTATCACGGTTCGCATGCATATTAACGATAAGAACGCACCTTAAGAAGCCAGGCGACTTTCATCGCATAGATCATTGCACCAAACCTTGAGTGGGAGTACAAAATCAAGTGTTCATCGGGGTTGATGCCTAATAACTAAAATTATGCATATTCATTTAAATACCTTGGCGAGCATACTATCGAAAAGATTACAAAAATTTAGCAAGTAAAATTTGATAATCGTTATATTACTTCAAAAAATTGTGTTCAGTCGCAATACATGTGCGGCTAGCAAAAGACTTGGTACCATGACAGTGACAGAGACTTTCCAAGAAGAGGGAAAATGCGAAAGACATTTTTTTGCCAAAATTTGCAGCCTTTTCCCTTTGCTGGCTTTGTTAGTAAATCTGCAAAGCAGCAGAAAAATGACTGGAAGAGCTTGGTCGAGAATGAGAGTAAGGTGCTACTCAAGAAAATGATAGTTCTTTTTGCTTCCTTAACTTTCACAAGAGAAATGCGTGTATATTTTGATCTAGCGAAACTATTCAGAGCATTCCATCCTCTCATCATATGGGTAATGGCATCATCTTGTAATTCAGTGATAAACACAAACCTGCATATAGTTCTGAAATATTTCAGGTGGATATAAATCATATCGCACATGCTCGGACGGATAGAACGCTGCATCTATACAGAAATGAGGTGCTAACGGGATATGTCCGGAAAGATACATTTCCTTCGAACTGCAAAAAAATTGGATTGTACATAATTGACGCCTATTCCAACATACTACATAAACTGCTATACAGATACAGACTGAAGATAACTTTTCTGCCATTTTGAAATACAATTAGCAGCAATTCAGTAGCGCATCAATCTCCACAATAAAAAACCAAATCGCATAATTAGTATTTTGTGGCAACTTACGGACATGGTCTCGCAAGAATCCTCTTGAAATCGCCATACAACTCCTTTTTATAGTGCTTCCAGTCAGGCTTCTTTTTGATTTGACTTGAATCGTAAGCGCAGTCTAGGATTCGGACGCCTTCCTTATTGATAATATTCTTTTTGAGCAATTGGGCCACAGTTCCAACATCGACGAGTCGCTTCAGCGACATTTCTGGAGTATAAAATTTCCGGATGTGCGGTCAAGTCAAGGAAAAACGCGGGAGGAGGACACAATAGATAAGACCGAAATCTTTGGAGTTGCTGCTTAAAAGGTTAGAGATTCTGATAGTACATACTACTGAAATCTCCAACCTTCAATAATGGAAACAGAAAACAATCTAAGAAAATAATACAACTCTTGCTATCTCAAACAAACCACGTTATAAGCAGACGGTGAGAAAAATTGTGAAGATTTTCCACTAATCGAACAAAGTGCTAAATCATCATTTTGAGATGACGTTCAGTTATACTCAACATTTTTTGGTCTCATATCACTTCTAGTAGTCTGAGGAAACAATCAGATATCCCTTCAGTTTCTTCAAAATGTCATGTTTCTAAACTCCATGGTAATGAATGAAAAAGATTTTATCAACACCACAACTCCAACCGTTTCAGAAGTTTATCATCACTTAGTTTGCAAGTCCAAGATTGCAGAAACTTCCTATCATGAGCATTAGATTTTTTTTTGAGGATCAGGATGACTGAAGCTCTTTTGTAGTTTAACGAATGTTAACAACACTAATGTAATTTCTTTTGCGAAAAGCTCCTGAACAAAGCTTCGTAGTTTAAAAAGAAAAAGATATGCCTTTGATTGCTAAATCAAGACCTCTTATCTCTGATGGACAAAACATTGATTCGGACCCACAGTTAGCACTCACCTTCTTCGTCAGCATTGTGAGAAAGCTCCTCGTGACAGTGCACCTAGCGGTGATTTTATCTCAACGGTTCGCAGATTTCAGCAGGGAGTAACGAGAACAAATTGAAGGTCAACAGTTCAGAGAACTTACTGGCGACTATGTACTTAGCAGGCGCCGTTTCTATTTCGAATGTAAGGATTTGGACGGCGTGAATTCGCAGAACTACGAGAAAGCTAAAAGGAGTGCAAGTCCGAGATATATTAGGTTGATGCATAATTCCTGCACCAAAATGGG